TCTTTTCTTTTCGTCCATTTTTATTTTATGATGATGTTCTGTTTAAGGATTCCTCTCAGGAGATACAATGTAGTCCCTAGGACAACGATTTCACTTGTTTGGTCTTCTTTACTTGTTTCCTTTTTTTGATTTCTTCAAATAAAAAGCTTAAACTAACTATATTGGCCAGTCCTAGAACTACTGAATATTTCACTGTTTTTAACAGTTTCTTCTTCGATGTCATTCTATTTGCGATCTGTTATAGCTCAGTGTACGTTGCTCATTTTCGGTCTAAGTAAAGAAAATATGGTCCTTTAAAGATGTTAGGAAAAAGTCAAATTGCTACTTACGTGATAGTGCACGTCAACACTACTAACTGTCGTTTCTATTACTATTTGTATGTTTTGTTTATCATGGTGATAAAATTTTTCAATTTTTTCATCGATATTAACATTTTGATTGATTGGCATCATAAACATTGATTGCTTCTGAGGTCTTGGCTCTTCTCCAGTTGACACATCATCCTTGATCTCTTCATTCAAAGTTTCTTTGATGGATAGTTATACTGTGGTCGGTTTATCGGGATGGTCTGACATAATATTGGCGATTCTTGCACCAATATGTTCGACTGTGTCTGTACCATATACCCGTTTCATATTGTCCAATATGCATGAGTTTTCCATGACCTGTTTATATAAATCGTCTTAAATAATAAACGTGGGATCCGTTTCAGTTTTTTTGCCAGAATCTTCCCTTTACAATTTTTGAAAATTGTAAATCAAGCAAAACCGTATGGTATAAAATCTCATATGCCGAACGTATCTTTTATAAAGCTCAATAAGACACTTATTTAAATCGTTTGACTACGAGTTAATGAAAAGCCATAAGAAAAAAAACATAAAAGGATCTATATCAATCATAATAGCTATGCAGTGTTTAATAAAGGACTTGGTGGATGTCTTTCATAAAGGTGATCAAACTTACCAAGAAATTGTGCAACAAGTGTTCGTTCGAAATCATTGAGATATAGTGCTATTACAATGGATAGGAATACTCGATAAAATCGACTGGTAAATCGTCTAATTTGTGTTTTCTCCACTGCTGCTTCGTTCCAATTTGGTAAGTTTTTCTTCGAATAAAATAAAATTTTACGCAAATATATTGATTTGGCTGGTTGTAGTTTACCATTCAAAATGAGACCCATTTCGCCACAAGTCGATATCACTTCAGCATTTAACTCGTTGATATTATTCATCATTTCAGTTGTTGATAGTCAGCATCATTTGACTTAACGTCTTTAAGTTGATGCTAAACAACAAAGTAAAAGAATATTTCTTCATGTCTACAAAAATAAAAGCACTTCTTGTCACAATGTACATACAAGATCAAGTTCTATTGGTTTATCATCACTAAAGGTTTTATAACGAAGATGTTTCAATAATATATCATTTAATTGTGGATTTAACTTTTGTTGTTTATTGTAGTGTTGCTGACGTAACACGTTGACGTAATGCAATCGTCCTGTTTTGATAGCAAGAAAACAGTGCAGCAACATGAATAAGATTTCGAACGAGTCCTTTGGTATATTAATCAGCACGGATGAATTTTGCTTGTTGTTATGAACATGAATTTGATACCACCGAGTTGCTCGTAAATATGTTCCAGAACAAAATTCCTTTACGTTCATATGTAAAAGGGTGTTGTAACGAACGACAACCAGATATCTGAATAAAATCAAAAGTCTAGTTGTAAAAATCCGTTTGTAATCAAGTCAGATGAGTTTTGATGTTTTTAGATGTCTGGAAAAGCTATTATTTCTCGAGATACGCGTATAGTCATTTATTCTGTCTAAATATTACAATCGATTCTCAACCTTTTCAGAAGAAATTAACTACGAATAACAGAGGAATTCACTCACCAATACGGTCTTGAACATGCAATAATCTTGCAAACGAAGATACGTCTGGATATTGAAACCTCGGTGCAGTAGACTTTCAATGTCATGAAGTATGCTGTTTTATAAACTCTTGTCTGTTAACATTGTAAGAAGTTGTTTGAACCATTTCTTCTGATTGCTAATGCTGATTCATTTGCTTTCTGGATTTTTGCTTGATAATTTACAAAACCGAGGATTATTTTTCGAGCTAGACTAAGTTGACTTTTCACCTAAATATCAGATTTTGATAATTAATAAAGTTAAGCATCAGTAGCAGAGTCATGTTGAAAACAACTTTTTTATTGATTTCTAACTTAATTATTTTCGCGAAAAACTATAGTGACTGATTCTGTTGTACTCTCAACGGCTTTAGAAGGCAAAGTACTTACTTGTGATTCAAACTGAGGATCATATGTACCATATATTAATTCAATAAGATCTAAACCGTATGTTAAGGCGGTTAGACACTTCAGAATAGTTGCTGTCGAGAAAGAAGGCTTAATGCCAGTACCATTTTTCTCATGGGCTTGTGTTTTGTAAAAACGTCTAATACTTGTCAAGATAATCATAATGTAATAGTCTATCGAGTATCGGATTATCCTTCTTAGCACAAAGAGCGAAATCAAATAGCACTTGAGACATATAAAATGATCGAGCTAATGACTGCTTGCGATAATACTCAGCGCTAAGCACAATAAACATCAGGTTGAATGGAGTTAAATCGAATATTTTGCTACAATAATTTAAATGATACATTTCGATTTTTTATTTCGATTTTTAGCCTTTTAGGTATTCAGGTATTTAGGTAAAAGCGTAACGACTTTCGTTAGTTTGAACGCCGTGCGACGTTTACGCTCTCGACATGTTTTGAGAGAGAACGAGCGTTCGAAACATTTTCTAGTAGTGAATCTTATAGTTGTGTTTTTGATCATATAAAACACAAAGTCGTCAGCAGACGGTTCCAAAGCGTTTTATGATGAACCTATGGCATGAAAAGAATCTCCAGCAAATGGACTTTATTCTAGACTGGTTACTAAGACTTCATCTTTTTTCCAAGTGTAAATCGGCTGTCTGAAAAACTTAATCAAACGACAGATGACTGGGCTACCGTTTAGCTCGTTTTTTGAATTTTGCGCCTTAGTGTGTGAGACATTTTCAGAGACAAGTATTGATCTATCGCTAATTTTTGACGGGCTATCGGATGTACGTCTTAAAATATTTTTAATTCGTTTCTCTCGGGAAATAAGCAGTAACGCACTCATCCCAGCTTTTTACTATCAAACAGTTAATTAGGCTTTTGCCCATGAAATTTGTGCCTGTTTAGGCTCTGTCTCGGCATGTATACGTAACTCAATGTTCTCTACAAATTGGTTGTAGTTTTTTGGAAGTATGACCTTTCTCGACTTTGGATTTTCCAGAGAGTTTGTAGGAAACTTCCGCGGAAAATTTATCTTTATTCGGCATTTCTTAATTCTTTGTACTCAAACAGCACATGAAATGATATCGATCGCGTGAATCTGAAGTATAGCGGGATGTTTCTGGCTCAGTTGTGACGTTAGTTTATCTCTCTCTCTAAACTAGTACCTGTTCTTGCAAATCCGGATGCTTGACCGAAAAATTGGCCAATTTTGCCTTTTTATGTATAAAATCGTCAATTTTCATCCAATTTCTTTGAGTGACATTTCATTCGAAAGAACGTAGAAAACTGAGCAAAATCTGATATTTGAAAAAAATTTCTGCTGAGTGCGTTACCGCAATGTTTTAATAATAACTCCTTACAGAAACCAGATTACGCAACTGACTATGGTACCTTTACGCGATCTTAAAGTGACCATTATGCCATCTTAGGGTTATGCACATCTTTTTGAGACATTGAGTTGTAATTAGATGTGTATGTACACCATCTGAAGGCTGGCTTCACATGATTTTACAGATAGTCTTTTAGATATCAATATTCAGATAAATAGAAACTAGCTGATACTGAAAATCAACAGCGAATTCGCAACTGATATTCTTTTGTTTCTTCCATACTGCTTTATGTTCTATTTTGAGCTGTGGATATGTCGGCACAATGAACTGGATGATATATGCTGTCCCTTGGTCATGCTAGCGTACGTATCAAAACTCTGTATGAACTAGACTTGAAATTTCGAGTATGAAGCTTCGATACTTATACTTTAATTCACCATTACTTTTCGTCAGATCGACATTTTTTTGTTTTTGAAAAGTCGATTGCAAAATTCATAGTTATGTCAAAACATTCGGCTTGAAAAGTCGTAAAAGCGCTAAAACTCATACCTTATAGCCGGGGAAAAACTATAGTCAAAATAACTTTATCATATAGCCGAAGGTTTATATACTTCTAATACTTCTACTAAATGCCAAGTTATCTCGGCTTCCAGTCGTGTATAAAGTAAATCAAATTCATGCGGTGATACTCCACTGATTATATTGATAAGCATTTGTTCTATATGAAATTGCATCACTGTGCTTTATTTTGTCTTAGATAATCAATTAACTGACTTCAGTTATTAAAAGATGCGATCATGTTCTATTATATACGTCACTCGACATAATTTACTTTTTCAATCAATACTATTCTGGAAATCAAGAGTTCAGTTACTTTTCTTTTCATCATAATTTGTTCAGACTATTTTTATAGTGAAAATTTGATATTTATAAATTTTTAATTTATTCCTTATCTCACAATCCAAGAAAACAGACGAGAAAAAAAGAAGACAATGAATTATTTTTAAATAAAAATGAACAAATGAAGAGAAATGAAAAACGAAAAAATAAATAATAAGCAGTAATAATTATAGAGAATAGAATATTGCGTATTAATAAAAAAAAAAAAGAAGAAAACGAGAAAAGAAATTCGAATACAGAAACATAAACAAATAGAAATATTTTTTGTCATGGTATTCTCTTTGCGTACAAAAATTTTGTGCACATGACAAATAGGGAAAGAAAGAGAAGAAAGAAATCACACAAAAGCTTCTATTGATTTATTCTGCAATAGCTATTATCATCAACTCTCATTCGTTCCGTTAGATGATGATGATGTTCGTCGAGAATTATTATGATTAGTATTTTGTAATTGTGTACCATTTTGTGGTTGTTGTGACCATCGAGATTTATGTTCTTCTAATCCAAATCCGGATGAATAATTTCCTTTAACAGCAAACAATTGCATATAATGGGGTTTACAATAAATTTTTGTACCAAGAGATGTAAAATTGCCAGGTCTAAAAGATTAAATGAAATTTAATGCAAAAAAGAAATTTTTAAACACTTTTCAATATGGATAAAATTAAAATACACTTCAAACACATGCTAATTCTTCATTGTCAAAATAAAAATGGTTGCCGTGCTTTAGAACATCTTCAAGAAACATTCCATTGTCATTGAAATTAGAAAAAAAAAAGTAATTTTTCCATAAGAGAATATATACGAGCGCTTATGTAGTTTGTCCTACAGAAAAGAAACATTCATGAAACATATAGATTCTCTAAATTATTGGGCAAATTTATTGGGCAAATATTATTTGCAAAAGAAATCCTACAATGACAAGCAGAAGTAGACATCTTGTACAGAATACACCGTCATGATGAAAAGTAATTTATGTTCAATTAGAATAAAAACAGCAATTTTAAACGGAAAAAAGAATTTTTACGAACAGAGTTTGATTCGTAGATTATTGTTTAACTCCTTCATCTATTTGACAAAGGTAAACTAGAAATCTAACATCTACAAAATCTTCATAATGTTAAAAAGTCACATGTGACGAAGAAGTTTCTCAAGGTAAATCAATATTTTTCAATAATTTACGTTAGATAAGAAGTATAGTAGTTTGATCCGATAAATCTCTTCGTATACAAAGTATCTCCTAATTACTAAACGGAAATGCTATTATTCCAGCAGATGTTCATGTCGCTTCCCTCCGTAGTAGAAGACCACCACTGTTGATCAATTTTCCTGAGATTTCTCTCTCTCTCCACGATTTTTGATCAAAAATCGACGTGTATTACTCGTCAAAATAGAAAATTATGGAAACGGGGGTGTTACGTTCGCTCTATGGCACACACTATCCAATTTTGTTATCAAAACTTGACTATTAGTCGTACTCAAAGATATATGCCGATAAACAAAAAACACAACTGTCAACAACATGCCGTTGATATGAAAGACAGAGAGAGGGAGAGAGAGAGAACGAAAAGGAAGTCAAACATAATAAATGATAAACAGATGTATGAATGTACGCATATAGAAGATAGATAAGAAATAGAGAATAAAAAAAAAGTATTCAAACTAAAATGCACAATTCACTGCACAATGTTTATTTTCTCATTACGTTATTTATTATTTTATGTATAGATTTTTATAAAATTGTTCAAATTTTTCTAAATTCAAAAAAAGAAAATGTGATAAAATTGTTTTAATCATAAACTTACTTTAATACAGATTTACAATGCATACATTTAAAACAGGCTTTATGATAAACTTTCTTGTCAGCTTCAACCTAAAAAATAAACCGATTTATATTCCTATATATTGTCTTTTCTATCTTTTGATTTACTTTTTCCATAGCATATACTGTTTTATTGCATACAAAACATTTATTATCGGCAATAGCTGGTTCAATATTTGTTTGTTTGGGAGCCGGTGTATCCTAAATGAAAGATAAAAACGAATTAATAATAATCAAAAAGATAGTTTTTATTAATAGATGTATATTTTCTACTTACAACAAATCTTTTAGGAGTATATTTCACTTTGGACGAAGCTGTTTCCACTTTTTTTGCTTCTTGTTCATATTCTACAAAACGATTTTTTAAATTTTTTGCTTGACCTTTTGTCGGTATAATATCTTCATTTGTTTCATATTGTTCAACTGTTGTATTATGAACATCAGATGGACTAGAAGATTTTCTAAAAATAAAATAAAACAAAAAATAAAATAAAGACTAATTAATAAATGTGGAGAAAGAGTAAAAATTTATTATTTTACCTTTGTTTTACCCCATCTGGCGGTGGTGTTATTTGTTTCAAGTTTGTTTTTGATGTTACGGTATTATTTTGTTCAACATTTTGCATAAATCTGGAAAAGTAAAGTAATTAATAGTATGTGATAATGATAGAGAAAAATTTTGAAGGAAAGAAAAGATTAATATAAGCTTTATCATGAAAATTAAAGAATAGAATTTTGTTGATAGAATAAAAAAAGCATATTTAACAGAAGAAAGAAAAAGAAAACCACATAAAATATCCTTTAACCTTCTTTTTTTTTAAAAAAAAGCATAAAATTCATAAAGCAAAGCACGTATTGATTAATGACATTAAAGTCAGATGTCAAGTTTATAAGGCAAAGAACATTTTAAGAATTATACAAATAAGAAAATAGCCTTTTTGTTTGTTTTAAAGAAGAGAATTTTCATTTTTTTTTTTGTTTTGTTTTGAAGCATATAGCGCGTAACTACCTACTCTTCACTAGATTTATTATCGTTCACATCCGCAAGACTTTCTAATGTTTGCTGATGAGTATCATCAGTAATTGAATTAATAAGTGACGAATTAAGAGATTGATGTTCACTCTCAACATCATCATTAACCAAAAGAATAGTGGATTCACTAGGAATAGTTTCATTATCGCTGAAGAGACAAGGAACAAAGAATATGTTGTTGTTGTTGTTTCTTATTATCTGTAAAATACAGCATATGAAAATTACCTTTCTTTAGCTGCTTTAGCATGACCCGATTCGATTTTTACAGTATCATCGGTATGGGAATGTCGATTACTTTCTTGATCATCCTGAACAAATCAAGAAAAAAGAATAAATTATCATCCACTATCAACTTGTTTTAATTGATAAAATAAGAATTTAGATATTTACATTTGCAGACGATAGTTTTCTTTGATCATTCGGTGGTGGTGTTATGGGTCTTGGTCCACGACGTTCAGGTGGAGGTGTATTTTCTTTATCCATAGTTTTAAACATTTGAACTAAATTTTTAGCTTTTCCTAAAAAAACAATGTAAAAAAATTCAAGAAAAAAGAGCTGAAGATTTTTTGTTGATCATATTAGTCATCTCTTTATATTCTATCTGGTACCTGTTTGTAAAATATCTTGATCTTTTAATGGACGTTCTTCACCTGCCGTTGTTCCATCTTGTTGATCACGATCAGGTGAAATTTGTTTTGTTTTCCATTTTTCAACAAGCTGTTTTGTTTGACCTTTTTCAAAATAAATTTCTTCACGTTTATCACTTTCACGTACTACATTACCATTTTCCTATTGAAAAGAGAAGAAAAAAAAAACAAGAAAGACAAGAAAAACAGTAAAATTGATGGAATTTATTTTTTTTAGCTTTCTCTCATCATCGCTCTCTGTCTCTCTCTCTCTCTCTCTCTTATTTCAAACAAAAGAAGAAGAACAAAGAGTATAATATCCTCATTTAAATTAGAAAGAAGCGTAAAAAACAAAAAAAAGAAGCAAAAATGCCGCTTCAGCTATAGAGAGAGAGAAAGAGAGAGATGAGTGATAGATGATCGTTAGTATTGTTCAATTTAAGCGTTATAAAAGGAAAGAAGAATAAAGAACAGAAGCTTTGATTATATCCTGAAATTTGTCTTTTCATGCAACAGAACAATTTCCGGAGAGTACGTCTATAAAAACAGGATTAGAAGAAATGAGAAGAGAGAAATGCTCTTGATGAAACGCAAACAATGAAAGACAATTTCAAATGACCTAGTTGTGTGATAGATGAATTGTCTACTTTATAATGACCACTAAATAGAATTTTGATGTCTCATCACCTTAACTATAAGTGATTCAATAATACTACTGAAAAGTCTCATAGATCCAACTCAATTCACAGTCGATCGAATGAGTGTGGTCCGTATTGACTTAATAAATGAGTATGAAGTAAAACACAAAACAATTTGTAGATATAAGTGGTGTAATACTGTTTCATGTTAATATTTTTTTTTTTCTAAAAAAAGATTTTAAGCTTAAAAAAATTGCGTTTTAACAAATAAATTTCTTAAGTAAAAAAAGAAAATCAAAAGGCTTTCATTGTGAAAAAAAAGCTACATATTCCGAGTAAAATAGTATAAAAAAGTCTTACGATAATTTAGAAAAAAAACCTTGAAAACTCTCGTCAATTTAATTGCCGAATACAGATGATTAGTACAAGTGAACTAAGTGTAGAAAACGCAGTATGTGCCGAAACAGAACATCGTAGTTTTGACGAAAGAAGATCGGTCCTTTCGCCTTCACAAGAAGAAAATAGGACATCAGTTGAACATTTTTTCACATCGATCATTTACTAATAAGATTATTATCATCTCTGATCATTAATTTTTGTCCTACTTTAGTATAAAATAAGCGAGACGTGAATGATGCGCGTATGTGCTATGTGGTTGGTTAAGTTAAAGATAATACACTTGGAGTGTGCAATAGCAGCAACAGCAAGAAAAGTCATATATGTGTGTGTGAGTAGTTTTTCCTGATGTGTCTAAGACAATAATCAGGTGTTAAAGAATAAAACACAAAAAAGAAAGCAAACTGATTCCGTGCGTGTTAGAGACAGGACACACTATACAGTTTGTTCAGCACCATCGCAGGAGAAGAATAGTGTGAGGGTTACGCCTTTCGAGATCATTCTCAAACAAAACACAGCACCACTCAAACACTCTTCTTTTCTCATGTCGCCAAAAACATAACCACGGACTGATGTCTATTTCCAATACCTTTCCTCTCAAATAAGAAATATTATCACTCAACACTAAACTAAAACCCACCACCACACAGAATCTCATGGATACACATACTACTCTGGTGTGACTCATTCAACTTCAAAATACCTGACACATAGGCAGATCGACAGCAGATTGGTGCAGCTTCATCAGCAGCATGGCTCTGCTTCTAAAGCACTTCTAACAAACAACAGAAGACTAC